GCCCATACTTGGCATTTCCCTACTTGTCTTTTGACAATTTTCTTCCTGCCATTAGACAGGGGGGCTGAAACTCGCTTACAAACTGAAAATAGAATTGCCTACTGACAAAAAGCAAATTATCAAAAGATAGGGGGTTGAATCATAGAATGGTTGAAAGTTAGCCGAAATTGAACACCCAATTCCCATATGAAGTGACCAATATGTCAAATGCATGACTGCTTATTGACTGACTCCTAGTTTGTCAATAGGTAGGGGCTGACAAAAGATCCAAACAAATTTTCCCTCGCTCACAAAAGATCTAATCAAAACAAGAACAATCACTGGACCCAACGCACAAAAACCAATACACTACTGACCCTCTTTCTACATCAATCCATTACAAAACCTCAAGGCAAACCCGAGGGTAAAATGATAAGCAGGAGGATAATGTAGGTACATGGTTAACACTCAGACCATTAGAACACAGAGGATATCGAATCGGTACCCCATGGACTCCTGCGATGAGCTTATAATTTATCGAATGACTGCGATGAATGTATAATTCATCACAGAATTGAGGCAAACTCGTACTTAAGACGAGTCGCGATGAACTTTAACTAATTTGAACCTATGATAAACTTTAGGCGCGCGGTTCTACGGTGAACTTCATATACGTGTAGTTTTGCGATGAACCGCGGGATCATTGTAGACTGGGAACAATTATCAGTTACACGTGTGGCTTTAAGTTATGCGTGTGATAAGGCATCACGTGGGTCTAATTAAAGTGTGCCTGCTAAACGAATGATGTCACCAGTGCCACGTTGGTTAAATGGGTCATGAAAAGAAGTAGCACACGTGGATTATGAGAATCCTCAGACGAAAGGAAAGCTAGTCATTGAGGGATCTCATAAGACACGTGGCGAAACCCTAGTAGTGTTCCTTAATAATAGACAACGAATCCAATATTCCCTTTCCTAATGAAATCAAACACTTTTGACTCCTTCCGTTCGGGACCTCGGGATCCCTCCTTATAAATGAGGGACTGCCTCATAATGAATTCATTCAATCATCGATCATCCTACCTTATCACTTTATCATTCTCATTCGCTCTAGCCTTTAACCTAATTCCTGCCCCCGATCTTCCTTCGAGGAGACCACTCTCACACAGCCTAACCACAACACTTACACTTGTCATCAATAAAAAATGTTGACTTGGTAAAAATCATCTAATCCTGGGCGGTTTGATTGTTGACCAGTTTGACTCGATCATTGGGTCATAGGTTGTACACTCAATGCATGTGTAAATTTTCGGAAGCCATAACTTTGTACTTCGATGTTCAATTAGGGTGATAAATTCCCTCCTTTTTTGCCTCAAAATGCAATTTTTTCTTGATGAGTGTTTTCAACCCATTGTTGACCTGATTGGTTAAATCTTTCAGGCCATTGTCAGCCTTAATTTCTAGTCTGGTTCCGTTGAAACCTACCATTTGGTAAAAAAATGTTGACTTCGTAAAAAACCATTTGACCCTAGTAGCAATTGACCCATTTGACCTGGTTACCGGGTTACGAATTGTACACTTAATATATGTGCAAATTTTTGGTGGCCATAACTTTGCACTCTTATATCCAATTAGGATGATTTTTTTTTTATTTTTATTTTGGGTAACCTATTGGGATTTATGCGTCACATCCTATGCATTTTTTGGCCTCAAAATTGCAATTATTAATATTTTTACAAATAAAAAATAAAAGCGGTACATTATAAATTAAATATAAAATAATACATGTATTATATAAAATATAATTATATATTATTTATTTATATATATATATATATTAATTTATCGAATCAATGACACACGACCCAAAGGCAAATGCAGGTTGATCTCTTATTCGATTTTTAAAACATTTGTCTAAACATATAGAATATTCACTATGGTGTAATTTAATAAATTAATATTATATTATTTAAATAATAATATAATAAACCAATAAACTAATTCCTATTCTTAAGCTATAAATCAGTATTTAGTAATACTTTAATAAATATATTATTTCTTTTTATAGTTGGGCTTATTTGGCATCAATTTAACTTTTAATTTTTATTAGACTTTTTATATGATGTAAACATCAACAGTTACAACTAAGCTAAAGCACACTTTTTCTTTCATCTATTGTTCTTACATTCAAATTCATGTTATAAAATTAAAAAAAAAAAAATAGTCGAGAGAGATATTAGAAGAATCATATTAATCTTAACTCTTTCCCTTTCCATTTGCAGGCCACATGCTAGTATTTAAGTAATTGAAAAAGAAAACATAAACGTGTGAAAATTATAAAAAACTTCATTTTCATTATTTGCATATGAAAAGATCAAAACATATACAACGAGCAGTCGGCGCGATAAACGCGCCATTAAGACCACCAGATAGGCCCTTGAGACGTCCATTATCCCCTGGAGACCTTAAACCCTTCGTTTCTTGGCCATGGAAGCTTGTTGAAAACCAGAAGGTCCAGAGCAGGGCATCCTCTCAAATGGTGCTTCATCCGCATCGCCCTCTCCACACGCTACTGTCCTCTAACATCCTGATGGGTTCCAAGAACTTGCTGAGAAGCGCACCTTTTACAATACCCATCTCATTTTCCCGCCTGCACCATTTCCATACCTATCGACTTCTCTTCTCAACAAGCCCACCAAAACCCATCTCTATATTTCACCATCTTATCGTAAAGAAATCTGGATTCTGCTATATGTCTTACGCCAGGGTTCCCAGGCCAGGTATACGCTTAACAATCATTCTGTTTTTTCCTCAGCTTCTGTTTTTTCATCCCTGATTATCTTTTTGTTGCTTTTAAGTTCACATGGATTACCCAGAAGAAGAAACGATCGACTCAATTCGATTAAATGCTTTAAAGAAGAGATTGGAAATGATAGGGATTGACTGCACTAGTTGTAGACCTGGACAGTACAATCATTTGATTTGCCCAAAGGTGCATACAGTTAAACTTAAGCTTTGCTGTTCTATTACTGTTATTTTATGTTTCGGACCGTTCTTCCTTTGTTTAATTGATTTGTTTTAACTATAAAAGCTTTAGCTATCCGGTCTCTTACCATTCTCATTGTAAAACACAGAGGCAAGGAAAGAAAACAAAATATAATTACGTTATTGGATGAGTTGATTAAGATTCCCTGGGCTTATGATTGTACACTTGCAGTAAAGTTTGGTAGTTGGTTGAGCCATAACTTCTGAACTGTTATATTATATATTTATTTATTTTTTTGGGTGGTAGTTGGGCTGGGAATGGAGGAAGAGGGTGTTGGGTGAGTTGGGGAAGCACCATTTGTGTGACAGTTTTGTCATAGTATGAACTGATTGAGCTGTACAATCAAAGTTTCTTGGGTGCAGGGTATCTTTATCGATAGATATTGTGCAATTGTTGCTGTAACTATGGTTTTATTTGGTCTTTATTCCATCTGAGCTGTACAGTCAATGCAACTCTTGTCTGAGGTCTCTTAGATGAAAGTTAGATCAAGTGATTCTCACCAACTAATCAGACTTCCATTTCTCCTCTTTAAAAGAGTACTGTCCCTAGACTTCTGGTCATTAAATGGATCTGAGTACTCGGGTAGTTAGGGTCATCTGATTGTCTAACTTCTGGCATGCCAAAGATTTGGGTGACACATTGATACAAAGCATAAATTTTGGTCTCATGAAAAATTCTCTGTCATAGGCTCTTCCTAGTTCTTGCTAAAAATCTAAAAGTATTTAGTACCAGAGGCTTGCCAATGTTCATATTAAAGCTTCTCTTTCTGATGTAACATTGGTGTTTATGTCATCATATTTTCTTTCATGATAGTGTGAAGGTGGAGACTCAATGGAGAGGAGCTTATCACTTCTGATTACACAAGATGGGTAAGTTTTCTTCAGTGTTTCTTGCCCCTCTAGTGCTCTTTTTTAGTACATGTTTATTTGTATACTTCTGGTGTTTTAGGGGTTCGGCCATGTGGACATGTTTTAGAGCTAAATGTGGATGGAGAGGTGGCGCCCAGGTAACATGATAATTTGGAAGATTATCTAAACTATTTTGGTTTTTCAATGCTTTGATTATGTTTCTGCAGTTTGCCAAATGATACCCAATTTCTTTTCAGGCCTTTCCAGATGGGAGGGCATTTGGTGGAGCTAATCTAATTCCAAAAGTAATGCCCAAACGAGAAATATCAGAGGAGAGTCTTGGGTTAGAACCCTTGTGTGATGAGGTAGTGAAGCCTGACATTTATATCAACTATATTTATTGAGAATGCTATTTACTAGTTTGTTTTTGATGTCATGTGGTATAAAGTTTGGGTCAGAACCCTTGTTTCATATATTGACTTTTCCTTCAACTGAACTGATTGAGAATGCTATTTATTAACCTGGTTTTGATTTTTTTTACTTGATAACAAATAGACTTCTTTTTTATCAAATTAAATAGATTACAAATACATATATACACCCACACAAATGAGTTCAGATTGTCTCCCCATAAAGTGCACCCCACATGTGCTCCACATGCACATCTCGCTGTGCATTGGGAACATCTCCCGTACTTGTCATGGGGAGATGTTCCAATGCATGGTTGGGATGTGCTGTGGGGCGTGCTCTGTAGGAAGTCCATCAGAATTCCATACAAATATACAACTGGTGTGGCTAGCACCCCATGAGACAACTAGCACTCGCTTAGCCCCCACAGCCACTATATACACTTTTTACAAACCCTCATACAGTCATACTGAGGGATTACACCTAAAACAACTGATTCCTTGTTGCTTCTTGCTTAGCTAGGCTATCAGCCAATGGATAAAATCTCTTCTCTCTCCCTTATCTTTCCTCTTTTTTTTCCCTTACAGTTGTGCTAAAAAAATTGTTCTTTTCCCACCCTTTGTTTGGCTAGTGTATCAGCTAAATTGTTAGCAGTCCTTTTAACTCATTCAAAATTGACTTCCATATCTGTATGGAAGTGAAACTTCTTATGGATCCTCCAGTTCTAGCTTCCTTCACAATCTCTTGTTGATCCTCTAGTTATAGAAATTAATGGGTTTCCTAAACTGCAGTTGTCAAAGTTCAACTTGAGGAACTTTTCTGGAGGGACTGGAAAAGCTGCTGAGATCTTCTTTCTAGAAGAACATGCAGCAATCAACCAATTACTTGTGATATCATCCATGACGAAGTCCCTAAACTCCTTTAGTGTTTTACCTCAACTAGCCACAACCACATTTAAATATACGTTTTGTATTATAATTTCTTTGGATTTTGGTGCCTCTCTAGTTTCTTTGTTTCCAAATCATCATCCATGCCTTATCCCAACTATATGGGGTCAGTTACATGAGTCTTGTTTCACTAATCCATTCTATTTAAAGCCATATCCACCGTTAATTATTAGTGCTTAAATTATTTCTTACTACTTCTACCCCGTCCTTTTTGGTCTACCCCTAGCTCTTCTAGCCCTTTCCACTTGTAACAGATCACTTTTTCTAGCTGGAGCTATTGGTTGTCTTTTATGCATGTGACCAAATATACAATCCTCCAGATAGTACACTTGTAACAGATCACTTCTTCTAATTGTAACAGTGTGGTAGAGGAATAGAGGGCTTGTTGCGAACTACCACCATCCAGATTGTAAAATCCTCCAATATGATACCTGCCACTAGTCATTTTCCTCGTCTTGAGATCCTGGAGAACACAATAAGAAGGGAAGAATGAGATGGAACAGTTCAAGGTTTTTTGTTAATTTACTAACTGACATTAGACTTGTTAGATAGTATATGCCCTTATCTCCAATCAGATTGATGTACAAATCCATTTATTGTAAATGAATAAAAGTACATAATTGATTCATGTTATATATGGTGTGTTTCTGTGTAATTACCCTTAAATTAGACACTTATGAGACTTGTGTTAGTTTAAAATGTTTTAGCCGTTGGAATTTGGATAGACTTGGGGAAGTTTATCCTGCCAAGGTTTACACTGATGTGTTGCTAAGAAGGTTGGCATAACCTGTCTCAGCTGCTAGGGTTAGACTCAAAGCACATGCAGTGTGTGTTTGTTCAAAACCCTGAACCCAGACCAATTTCTAGTTATGCCTTGGACCATGGAGACTGGTGGGCAAAACTGGAAATTTACACCTAACCCCTAGATTCGATTATGGTAGTGCACAGGAGTCAGATTGGGTTGTCTTTGATGTGCCAATCAGTGAGATCCTTCAGTGTCAAAACCTGGGTATGTTGAGGCAGTCTAAGAATTCACTCGAGTGGGTGATCAGCCCCTTTGTTAGACAAAGTGAATGATCGGGATTGCACTCTCTCTGATGGAAACCAAAACTGTCGGTAGTCGATTTCAAACTTGTTTGAGATTTTTTTTGCAAAATATATTTATATATATATATATAAGAAAAAGTTTGCAAAATATATTTATTTTGTTTTGCAAAATATATTTACACCCAACTCCTACACTCGATTATGGTAGTGCATAGGAGTCGGATTGGGCTATCTTTGATGTGCCAATCAGTGAGATCTTTCAGGGTCAAAACCTGGGTATGTTGGGGCAGTCTAAGAATTCACTCGAGTGGGTGATCAGCCCCTTTGTTGGACAAAGTGAATGATCGGGACTGCACCCTCTGATGGAAACCAAAACTGTCGGCAGTCGATTCCAAACTTGTTTGAGATTTGTTTTGCAAAATATATTTATATGATAATATATGTATTAAGAAAAAGTTTGCAAAATATATTTATTTTGTTTTGCAAAATATATTTACACCTAACCCCTAGATTCGATTATAGTAGTGCACGTGAGTCGGATTGGGTTGCCTTTGATGTGCCAATCAGTGAGATCCTTTAGGGTCAAAACCTGGGTATGTTGGGGCAGTCTAAAAATTCACTTGAGTGGGTGATCAACCCCTTTGTTGGACAAAGTGAATGATTGGGACTGCACTCTCTCTGATGGAAACCAAAACTGTCAGCAATCGATTTCAAACTTGTTTGAGATTTGTTTTGCAAAATATATTTATATGATAATATATATATGTATTAAGAAAAAGTTTGCAAAATGTTTTAATTCCTGGGATCCATCCGAGCAAATTGTGCAATACTGCACATTGTAGCCAGGGGAGAGGTCCTTCTCTGTCGGGCAGTGTTTAATCATTAAGGGTTGAGAGGTTAAGTGTAAGAGATCATTTATGGCTGTTTTACCTGATGGGCTATATTTCACTTAAGTCCATTGTCTTTGGGCTTTCATAGGATGGCTAGACTCAAGGATCATTTAGTGCAAATGTTGGGCCCATTAAGAGCCCATGCTGATGGACTCGGGGGTTCACTGTGCTTGATAGTGAATTCGGCTAGACTTTTTCACAGAATCTGGGTTGGACCCATATGGGCTCATGTGAGGTCATTGTTGGGGTCCCACGCCATACAAAGAGAGCCAAATAGGCCAACAACTAATTAGGTTCGTGAGCCACTTGCTTAATGGGCCTAAAGCCCATGATTAATAAGATTAATCAAGTAGTCACGTGACAGCTTAAGCAGTCATGTGACTTGGGCAAATATGGGTTTAGATTAGCCACTGGGGTAAGAGGATAAGCCTTATCCACTTAAAGAGTCCAAATCCAAATAAAGATTTGGATTAGGAGCCTCCTAATTCGATTAGGAGTGGTGATCCTTAAGGTTTAAGAACAAAGAGTTTGATATGCTCCAAATAACTCTGCTTTCAGCTCTTCCTCTCTGTTCTTGCCACCCCAGAAACCGTAGTTCGACCTCCAGTTCTTGAACTGATAGAGATCAGTTCTGGTATCTGATTTTTGCAAGAAAACATCAGATCCAATTCGTGCTCACCACCCTTGCTCGATCCAAGTTGTTGGATTGCAGTTCTTGCTGAAGGAATGTGTTGCTGAATCGGTTTCAGTGGAAGTTGGTTTTTGTACCCTCTTTGGGCATGAACTACCACTTTGGGAGCTACACTTGTGGATTCCGTATGAGGTATACTTCTCCCATTCTTTTGTTTTCAGATCTGGTCCTGTTCGGTGCACAAACGTGTTAGACAGTTATACCCTTAGCTCCAATCAGATTGATGTACCTTTTGACATTTATTGTAAATGAATAAAGTACATAATTGATTTATGTCATTGTGGTGTGTTTCTCTGTAATACCCTTAAACTGGACACTTATGAGACTCGTGTTAGTTTAAAATCTTCACAGTCGTTGGATAGATCTAGGGAGATTTATCGTGCAAAGGCTGACACTGATGTACTGCCAAGTTGGTTGGGGTGGCTTGTCTTAGCTGCTAGGGTGAGACCTAAGGTACAAGTAGTGTGAGTTTTCTTGAAACCCTGAATCGGACCAAAATTCCATCATTGCTCTGGACCTTGGATATAGATGGGCAAAACTGGAATGTTACACCTGACCCCTAGACTCGATTATGATACTGTACTAGGTGTCAGATTAGGTTGTCTTTGATATACCAATCAGTGAGATCCTTAGAGGGGGTCAAAGCCTGGGTATGTTGGGACAGTCCGAGAATTCATCTAAGTGGGTGATCATAGTGACAGGATCAACTCCCTTTGTCGGACAAAGTGAATGATCGGGGATGCACTCTTTTTGATGGAAAACTAAACTGTCGACAGTTGATTTCAACCGTTGAAACTTGTTTTTGCAAAATATATTTATATAAAAATATACATATATATTATGGTTTCAAAATGTTTGCAAATGGTTTTAATTCCTGGGATCCATGTGAGTAGAGAGTGCAACATTGTACCTTGCAGCCGAGGGAGAGGTCCTCTCTTGTCGGGCAGTGTTTGATCATTATGGGCTGAGAGGTTAAGTGTAAGGCCATTGAGGGTAATACCTGATGGGCTAATCTTGCATCTGCACACAGTTTTTGGGTTTTCATAAAGTGATTGGACCCAATGACCATTTAGTGTAAATGTTGGGCCCATTAAGAGCCCATGGTAACGGACTTAGGGGTTCACTGTCTCCTACAGTGAATTTGGCCAGGCTTTGTAACAAAGGCTGGGCTGAACTCATGTGGCTGATGTGTAGGTCAATGTTTGGGTCCCACGCCATATAAGGATAGCCAACTGGGCAATAGGTTAAGAGGTTAAGTGAGGACATAGACTTAATGGGCCTAATGACCATTCGAACTGGCTTAATAAGATTAATTAAATAGGGGGCAGTTCTGGGATTTGGATCAGTAGATAGGATAAGGGATTATCCTTATCCACTTAAAG